AAAAAGGTAGAATTGATGAAAAATACCCCTACCTTAGTATCTTCGTTTTGACACCAATATGTCTATGCTATATATACATTTTCAAATTGTAATACTCAGATGGTTGAAATGATACACGGAGTTTAAAAAGTTAGGTTTTGAAAAATAGTGACGAAACAAGATATGATATTATTAGATACTAGGTTTTGAAAAAATTAACGACAGAGTAGAAGGTGAACTGCATAATAATATGATTCTGAATGGCACACTCATACAGACAGATTATATTCTTGGGATGCTCTTTGTAATTACATGTACATGTATTCTGCTTTTTGCGGTCTTTGTCTTATTTCAGAAGTAATAAGACCTTTTTCAAACTATTTTATTCAATACAGTGCACTAAATATTTAAAAAATAGAGACAACCAGCCCAGACTATTGATTTATCAATGCGCAGAATACAAAATGCACATGCACAAAATATGAAGATAACAACAATATTTGTAGGCGGCCTCGTGGTCTAGAGGTTACGGTGTTCGCCTCTCATTCAATAGGTCGCGGGTTCGAAACCTGACAGCGAAGGAACATTTTCAGCAGTAAAATTTTCTCCTTCCACTTACTTTCCTGCTCCCTTACCATAATATTCTGTCGTCTGCTTTCGCCTTCACTTTCTGCCCCCTTCCCCCCCACCACCTTTGCCACCGCCTCTGGGCTCTTGACTCCTTCCGCAGCCTTTCTACTGCCACTCTTTCAGCCACACCCCTGATCTCAGGGTAGGTAAAAATCTAACACCTAGCATTCTCGGATAAGCGCGAAAAGTCTCGGAGGTCCCGGATGCAAGTTGTGCACGTTAAAGATCTCTTGGTGGTACAAAATTGATTAAGTAGGCCTTGGCTGCCACCTGGGCTATGTTCAAAATTAATTCCTACCAAAACTGAAAATATTTAATGTGTCCTGCGCGATCATGTGGCTTTTGCAGTTGCGAAAGCAGTAAAACCATTATAAAAATACATAATATTATGTGAAATTCCTCTGTGTGGGCAAATGGGAACCAGTGGGTGCTCTCTGTTTGCGATAGTATAATATGTATTACGAGTAGATCTAGCCTATATGAAAGATTTTTCACATTTAACTAAGTCGAACAAGAATGTCACGCAATGACAAGATACTATATGAAGTTTATAAAAGCATGCTAAATTTATACTTAAGATTCAATAAAATAATTAAATGAAGAGTGAACTGAGTCGTGTTGGCATGCCAAGTATCTTCACCATCTTAAAGCAATCACAACTTGTGCTGGGCAAGTCACGGATCTCATATAACAGACCCAAATAAATTTCTGTTCGTCGAACTACAATGTACTACCATTCGTCTGCGTTCCCACTTCCAACACCAGGATGTCTAAAGGGTCTTCGTCACCTCAACAGACAAACAGCAACAAACAATGCCATTAAAACATGTCCAGACAACAGTATTATATTTATTTCTATAGGACCATTTCCCCCCCTCTAGACAACTCCAACTCATGCATCATAGATACGATATAACCCTATCGCACTCTTTCCCCACTCATTTTTTTTTTCTTTTACACAATGGCATTCTGACAGGCAGCGATACATTTTGTTTAATTTCCTTAAACTTTGTGCTTCTGACAAATACATATAATGATTAATCAAATTTTAATCTGTTCAGCATTGCGAGTCCCAGCTTCTTTTTACTCGTAGCCAAGATATCGACTCCATGCAGTGTTAAGTGGTGCCTCAATGATAAGATCTATTTTTTATTTCAAAAGCATGAATAAGGTAGCAGATAATGGGTCTTTATTAGCGTATAGTTAAAGAATGTCAAACGAGAAACAAGACAGGGCTTTCTTTTAAAATTTCGAAAAACCTTTCAGGTCTAATTGAGAGGATTAAACAATGAGGAAAGAAACAGAAGAGGCCAGGAAACAGGTGTCACATCAAGGAAGAAGGAGGCGAAACACCAAGCAAGGACATGGGTAGGCCTTCCAAATGCTGCAATGTGAACAATTTCGTATGGTACGTCGTTCTTCTGGTCTTGAAAATCTCGTTGAAATGAGAATTTTACCGAAACTGTCAGCGCCGTCTTCAAATCTGGATTGTCCTGAAATTGTCTCAATTTCTTCCGTATTGAATTTTACTCATACTCATATAAGATCGTAACAAAAGCTCTGCTTTCTTTATCAAACTACTGTTGAATTAGCTTTACTTTACTTTTACTTTTATCCGCCGCTTATACCCTTTTGGGTGTTGCGGGAAGAAAGAGACGTCTCTCTGTCGCCAGCCGGAGAGCTTGGGTCAGAGGGATGCCGTGGGTGGTTAATGTTTCCTTGACTGACTCCATCTATCCAGGTCTTTCTCGGTCGCCCTCTAGCCTTGTTGCCTTCGAATTTTTGGATGTAGGCATGTTGTGCTGGATGGTGTGTTGGTAATCGTACGAGATGTCCGAACCATTTGATTATTTGGTGTTGGATGTGATGCATGACATCATTTGTGCCCATCATTTCTTGGATTACTTAGTTAATGATTTTGTCTCGCCTGGTCTTGTTTACTGCTTTTCTAAGGCATCGCTTTTCACATGTTGTAATTCTTTGCTCTAATTTCTTGTTCGAGGTCCATGTTTGGCATTGATAAGTGAGTGTTAGGATGAATAGGGTGTCGATCAATTTTAGTTTTGTTGCCATGGGGATGTTAGGGTGTTTCTGCAGTAGAGTAAGCTGGTAACTAACATTATTGGCCTTTTGTACTCGTGTTTAAATTTTTCTGTTCAGCCGCCCATCCTCTGTGAATATACTTCCAAGATACTTAAATTCTTTGACCTGTCTGAGACTGTTATTGTTGATGTGTATCCTGAGTGGTTCTGGGTTTGTGCTTACTTTCATTGTCTCCGTTTTATTGATGTTGATCTTCATTCGTAGTTGTTACATTTTTCGGTTAATGTGGTGGTGTGGTGTTGGAGACTTCGTTCATCGTTGTGTGCCAGGGTTTGGTCATCAACGAAGAGACATTCATTTAGGGCGTTTGGTTCTGTGTTGGCATCTTCTGATAAATAGTAGTGGTGATAGGACACAAACTTGTCTTTCTCCGGATGTTATTTCGAATTAGCACGATTTCCAAAATTCACACAATTAACATTACTAGTCAATTATTTGCGCCAAACAGATTTTTTAAAATTGTTCATTGCTTGTACAGACGACCTCCATTATTTAAAGAAAAAAATAAGTCATCAACAGCAAGCCCCCGACTCCCAGAAAAAGCCCCCAAAAAGTCTTATAATCTGTGTAAGTTCCCTCTCTTACAATATTTTAGGCCAGTTTTGGGTTAAAAATATTTCCAATCATAAGATGAAGCAGGAAACCATGGTAAGATGTCGTTCTAAAGCTAATATTTTCTAGGTCTAAATTCGCGGCTAACCCCGATGAAGTACGGAACTACATTCCCGAAGACAGAAGAAGGTACTCGGATAGAAAGTACCCCCCCCCCTCTTGTGAGCACACATAGACACACAAACGCACACACACACACACACACAC